GGGAAAGAATCCTGTTTATTAGTACTTAAACATTAACACAGATCAGCAAGGAGTTGACCGTGTCAGAGCTGGACATCTACTGCGACACTAGCAACAAAAACCTCGCTGCAGCAGCAGAAGTCAACCTACTCATCAAAATTAGTAATTTAAACTCAGATTAAGTATGAAATAGCCCTTAACGCTGCTCTACAAGTATGTAAGCTTGTGAGAACGAGGAATAAAAAGGATTCGTTATAATAATTATTTTACTGAGGAATCCTAAACTTCAGCCACTGCTGGAAATGCTGCACTGTAAGTCCCAAATTCGGATTTTTTTTGCAAGACACGGATGAAAGCTTTGTTTAAAAATCCTATTTTACAGTTACAGCAGGTGAGAGGAGGATGGCTGAGCCAGCTCTGGACACTCACTTGAGTCACAATGTTGGAAAAGGTGAGAACGAGACCAGCGAGCAACAAACCGAGCAGCAACGACTCTTAACGAGCAGCAGTTCGTTACCACGTCTCCTCGCCTCCTGCCCTGCACTCACCTGTCTCCGCCAGATCCGTAATGTCCTCCTTGCATCGTGTCCGTGTCCATGTGCGACACCATGTCTAGGCGCTGGTTCATTTTCGCAATGACGGCGTCGGCGTTGCCGCCGCCCGAACCGTCAGGGTTCATGTCAACGTCCGAGTTGGCCATTTCCCAGGAGTTCGACGTGGCCATGCCGTATCCGTAATTACCCGAGTTATCCTGGCCGTATCCATAGCCATAACTGTACCCCTCATAACCTGGAACAACAAAAATAAGAGAGCTGGGTTTATTTCCAGTTATCCGGCTTCGTTAATATTTTAATTCAAATTCAAATTAAGATGCCCCAGGTAATTGCCACAGAGAGTTAAAATAATAATAAAAAAAAAAAGCTCAAATTCCTATTTAAGTCACCTATAAACTTTGAAGCACTGAGCTCGCAAAGGTTTAAGGGAACAATTTGCTCGTCTAAGTCCCATAAAACACAGCCGCAGCCTATAGCTTCCTCCATCTAACCTGCTCCGGAGAGGAATAAACACGGCGAAGGCAGAGCCTCCATAAAAACCCGTTCTGGGTTAACACAGAGATACCAAAGAACCACTTTAAGCTGGTTTTCAATTTGATACGAAGTTGTCGGTAGCCAGACGAATGCAGCTAGGACATACCTTCACCGGGACCTACATAATCTGCTTTATAACCTCTTAAATCCAAAGGGATGATGCTATAGCGCGTCCCTGTCCTCTTCCAAAGACAGGGCAGCCGAGCACTGAAGGCAAAACCACTTTCAGCCTAGCGTTTCCCACACATTTTTAAATCAGAAAGCAAGAGAGGCTTCTCCTCTGGCTAAAGAAGCACAAACTGTTATAAACAGGAAAAAAAAAAAACCCACAGTAGGAATAACACACAAAGCCAATTAAAAGCCCGCTGAGGCTTAAAATTGAGGTTTTGCTTCTCCCTGATCTTTTATTTGGCTGCTGGCACATGTGGAGAGGGAGTTTGCATTTCTGCCGTCTCCCCACGCCTCGATTTACATCGTCACCTGCGCTGACTTCATTTCGGTTTTCCAAGTAGTAGAAAGGGTTTTTTTGGTGGAAAACAAACTCCAAAACCCAAATGTTGTGCCTAGAACAGTTTTCCTGTGCAACCATTTACAGTAACAAAGTTTTCTGTTGGCTTCAAAGTGGTTTTTTAAACTAAAAGAAAAAAACAGTCGCACAGGCGGAACAGTAAGAGGCTACACGGGGTCTGTGCTGCGGCGCGGATGGCGGTTGTTGTCACCGACCTCGGCGCATCTCCCTCAGGCTCAGGAAACGGATCTGAAGTGGAAGGTAATAAACCATTACTCCAGTTTTTACTGTACTTGCCTCTGTTCGTCCCAGAGTTCCAGTCTCCATAACCTAGAAAAAAAGCAAAAAGCAATTAGAGATGAGTTTATCGTTATCGTGGCACTCACGGCCAAAGAGCTTCTCATTACCCAGCATCAAAACGGAGCGACGCCCCAAATAATCCACGAGTCTTGCACCAAATATCAACTAATTCGGACCTGAGTGTCGCCCCAGCAATGAGACGTCCCCATAAGAGCAACATCCTTTGCTCATCTTACACAAAAAAAACCCAGGTTTTCATTTCAAGCTGAGCTCCTGGTAATGATTTCCACGACCGAGTGTTTTGGGAGCAGAGGCGAAGCGTTCAGGAAAGCGAGAAGGATCTTGCAGGGAATAAACCCCGCTGCGATTAACGCCTAAAAAGAGGGGACTGGGACACACCAAGGAAGTTTTAGTCCTGTCGTCTGCCAACCCTCAGCCTCCCGGGACTGACATTCAGACGCCCTTTGAGGCGAAACGTATCTCAACGGCATCACTGCACTTTGCCCTTGCAGGAAACCAGCTGGAAGATGGAGATACGGGGAAGGGAAAGACACGGTCCGGAGGAGCCCCGGTCGGGACACCGACATCCTGCGCTCCCCAGTCAAGAGAGCGTTACCCCAACGCTAATTTTCAAAGTAATTACAGCCTCATTAGCCAGGGTACATATACACACTGCTTCCCTTCATCTCAATCTATATGCACGCTATGGGAAAGCAACGTTACCTTGCAGGTTCTTATTGTGATTTCTGCCTTAATTAGAAACTCCTCTTCACAGGAGATAGCTAATTTATTAATTTCCTTTTTCTTTTTCTCCGGTTACAGCCTGAGCCACTTCCAGCTGAAGCAGCTGACACCAAATATAGCGGCAAATCGTTTCCTACCCCCACCATACTCCACAGGTGAGCTGAGACTCCACTCCAGGAGCCAGCAAATGAATAAAAACCTCAAGATTTTTTAAAAGACGGAAAGGCAAAATTGCCACTAAACTAG